AAAAGTCAGCCTTGATTAAAAATCACGATTTACTTTAATGCCCTGTATATTCGAGATATTTTAGTGTAATAAATATATTCTAGTTTAGGCTCTTACAAAAATATTGAAATAAAGACTATGTACTGTATATTGACTATTACAAAAGCAGTTAATGCTTTTAGAACTAACTAGCAAGAGTAAAAATAACTCAAATAGTTCTGTGAAATCAATAATTTAATATACTTAGTAAATATCCTATCTACACAATAAAGTAACATTCAAAAGAACCAAAACCCCAAGAGAAAAATTGACTACTAACTCTCCAATTATCAAAAAGTGTCAAACAAAACAGAACCCCAAGAAAAACTAAAATATATTTATTTCATCTACAAAATAACATGTAAACAAGTCAAAAAATTAAAACCAAACAAAAAAATTCCCAAAACACATAAACTCACAGAAATATTTAAATATATGTGATGCTCATAAATACACATTTAACCAATAAAATGAATAAATACATTAAAAATTGTTTTAAGCTAACAGTGTGCTTTTAGCAGTTTGCCAAGCACCCCAACACTAAATATGATCCCTTTTAACCTTTATTAAACTTTTAAAGATTTTAAAAAATAAACCTTATTTCCCACAACTTGCAAACTCAACAGAGGATCATTAATTAAATTTACACCAGGGGACATCCTAATTAGAATTAGTTGAAATTGAAACCCCAGAGTGACAAAGGAAAAATTCAGCTTTTAGTTTCATTTCCACATCTCCACGTCCAAACACGTGGCACTAAAACACAGATAATTCAAAATATTTCACAAGACACCCTGAAATAATTCATGCTCCAGCTTCCTCAGTATTGAATCTAACAGGGAGTTGTGATTAACACGAATCTTTTATCAATTATCCCAGAGGCATCCAGGATGACTTCACTGCTCTGTGATAACCCCAAATTTTGTGTGATTGCACCCAAAAAAAAAAATGCACTGAGCTGCCTTCCTGTTATATTTTAATAATTAACAGAAGCCTCACAGTGAGCTGGTGCAGCCTCTCTGATTCAGCTGCAGGAACTTTCAGTTTCCACTTCTGATTTTTGACCTCAGCTGCAATCCCACCCTGCATCCAGGCTCGTCCATCATTTCCAGGAAAAAGGGGACAAAACGTCCCCCCCAAAGGATTTTCTGGGGACTTCAGCACTTCAAAGGCAAGGCTGGAAGCAGCTGAAATTCTTGGCTCAGCTCTCAGTGCCACAAAAACCTCCCCCCTGGGAATTCAACAGCTGCAACATTTCCAGTAAATGCTGCTTTCATTTTCTATTCCTTGAAATGATGTCAGCAAAAAAGCAATTTTTTTTTGTTCCCTGGTACACACGGATGCCTCAACAAAACCTCGACAATTTCAGATTCCTGTTGTATGAAAAAATCAGAATTAAAGCTGATTTTCATACAACAGCCTTGAATTCTGCTTCCAGGAGTTTTTAAGACAAGCTCTGAAGGATACAAATATCCAAGGGAAGCACATCATTGCAAGCCACAGAAATGTGGTTTTTTTCTAAATGTGATGCAGGATTAATTTGGATTAAGAGAAAAAGAACTACCACAGGATATTTTTTCCCCCTAAATTACATTTATGCAGGAAGAATGACAACAGCAGCAGAACTGAGCAAAGGCAAAATTCCCAACAGCAGCTTTTTGATCTCCAGAGACAAAATCCACCCAATTCACTGAAACATTTCCTATTTAATGTTATTTATTCTGCACTGGCTTCATCTGTCAGCTGCTTTTCATCCATAGCACAGCATCCCAACAAAAGTGACTTTGGCAACCCCTCTGGAAGGGAACTGGCAGGACAAAACGAAATCCTTCCAAAACTTTCTCCCCAGAATACAGTTCAGTTCCTGAACTGAGAGGTACAAAACCCCCCATTCATCCCAGCTGGGTGGAAGCTGACTGGAAATTCAACAAGCAGGACTCTGAATTAAACATTTTAGCAATTCAAAGGTGAACAAAATAAATTTACACAAGACCAGTCAAATATTTTCTAAGATAGAAACTTTATTATTTTATGATTTTATGATTTTCACCCACAAATGAAATTGAAGTTCATGTAAACTTGTTGTATTTTTCACATTTATAGCCCCCCTAGCACAGATGTGTTCCAGGATGAACATTTCATATCAATATTACCGATTTCTATTTTATATCAGAGGGTCTTGTGTTGTCCTTGCTCCTGTTTTTCTGCTGCCCAAGCACTGTGAGTGTTTGAGATGATCCAGTCGAGCTGACAGAATTGCTCCAAATAATTCTGGGATAGTCTGGACAATGCTTTAGGGAACAGCAAAGGTTTTTTATCTGCTCAACTCAAGGGAAATCATGGAATGGTTTGGGTTGGGAGGGACCTTAAAGCTCATCCAGAGGGCAGGGACACCTCCCACTGTCCCAATGTCCAACCTGGACCTGAACATTCCAGGGATCCAGGGGCAGCCACAGCAAATCTGGGAATTCCATCCCAGGGAACAATTCCTAATTCCCAAAATCCCATCAAATCCTATTTGGAAGCCATTCCCTGTGTTAGAAATGAGAGACAAAAGTCTCGATATTCAACAAAATTTAGATTGCTTTATTTGATATAGAAAGAGCAAAGCAGCGCTGGGGAACGTGAGGGGTCACCCACACCCCACCCAACCTTGGTTTGCAGCCTCTTCTTACACTGTGGGTTCTCATTGTAATCAATAATTTTTGGATTTTTTTGTTGTCATAAGCAGTGGTGGTTGAATAAACATCCTTACACAAATTCACAAAGCCTTTGGGTGATAATCAGTCACAGATTGCCATCTGGGCCTTATAAATGGCCACCAGAGAAGTTCTGGGAGTCTGGTTTTTGGGATAGGCAGCATTGATCAGACAAAGGCAGGAAGGGCTTTTTGGGAAATCTGATTTTGCAAGTTGGGAGCTGATACAACTTATTTGAAAAAAAATAACATATTATAATGTAACATAATACAACATAATATAACATAACAAGGTGATTTTAAACAGAATTATTTAATCATATAATTTCCTTTATCTAGTGTCCATGCTTCACTTCAGAGCTCAGTATTCTGGTTTATACAAACCCCAATGCTTTTGTGATTAACACCAATCTTTTATCAATTATCACACAGGGAACAATTCCTAATTCCCAAAATCCCATCAAATCCTACTTGGAAGCCATTCCCTGGGTGCTGTCCCTGCATTCCCTGGGTGCTGTCCCTCCATTCCCTGGGTGCTGTCCCTCCATCCCTTGGCAATTGTCTCTCTCCATGGTTCCTGCAGCTCCTTCAGGCCCTGCAAGGCCACCCTGAGCTCAGCCCAAAGCTTCTCCTCTCCAGGCTGAACAATCCCAGCTGTGCCAGCCTTTCCTCCCAGCACAGCTGCTCCATGCTTTGGAGCATCCTCACACTCCATATTTTTATCATCCTTCCCTGCCAAGATGGAAAGAAAGGAGAGAGACACAAATTTGGCAGCCCCAGCTCTGTTGTCCCCTTTGGCACAGCCCCATTCCATTGGAACCTCGGGTATTTTTTGGGGACACTTCCCCACGTTTTCCTTCCCATCCCACCTGGGGGGATCCTGCCCCACCAGATGATTTTCACAGCAAGATGTGTAAAATATCATCCACCCCCCCCCAGCAGGATAAAAACTGCAGGAGAACCCAAAAAGTTGCATTTAAATGCAAACCCCAAGTTTCATGCCTGGCTTTATTCCAGCAGGGACAATGCAGTGCATTGAACTCTACCAGTTGTGCCACCAGGAAGGTGAAAATGAGGGCAAATTTAGGGTTCTTTGCCTTTTATTTATTTAGTTTCCTCTCAATCTCTGAGAAGAATGGACACCTGATATCCAGGGATGTTTTTTAAAGAGAGGCAGCACCGTTCAATCATGTGGGGAATTTTTTTTTTTTCCTCAATACCTAAGCTAAAATTCATATAAATCTACATTAAAAAAAAAACTCCTCTCCTCTGTGCAGAGTTGTGTATCTTCTTTCTCACACTCACAGACAAGACCTGTGTGTCCCCAATTCCCCAAAATACATATTTTAGCCCCAAAACCCCACATTACCTGATTTTTATTTTGCTCCCAGAGGCAATTTCTGAATTGCCAAACGTGCCCAAGTTAAAGAAAAGGTCACCAGGATGTCCTTGGAGCAGCAGGGACAGAAAAGCAAAGATTGATTTTCACCCCTGCAAGTTTCCCTTGAACAAACATCCCCCCCTTGGCCTCCTCACTGTTGCTTCTCCCATAATTTTGGGGGCTGCAGAGAAATTAAATTCATCCCTGATCCAATTTTTGCCCAAGGTTTACATCCTTTAATTTGTGTTTTCTCAGGGTATTTTCCAGTAGCTGTCCTTGATCCTGAAGGATCTGAATTAATCCTTCCATCAAATGATCCCAAAATTCTTCACTCTTTGTCGTGTCAGAATTCCAAATGAAATTTTTCTCTCAGGAAGTAAAAAAGGTGGAAAATACACAGGGAAAAAAAAAAAAAAAAGAGATTTCAGTCAATGCTTCAATGTCTGGAAGGTGATCAGAGGAGTGGCAGAAGAGTAAACACATCTTTGTGTCTGCTGGTCATAAAATCATGGTTTAATGGAAATTAAATGATTAATGGAAATTAATAAAAGGCCAGGATCATGGTAGGGTTGAGAAACAACAGAAAAACTTCATTAATAAGTTAAAACTGCCACACAAATCAATGCTGTTCTAATTTAGACACAAATTCATTTTTATACAACGCCCCCACCAAAAATTCACTATTTCAAATTGAAATGTTGAATTGAAAAGCATTTTTTTCCTTCAATAAGGAGCTGGAATGCTGAACATGGAGATTTTTATTTCAAATTCAGGCAGGAAACCCAACCAACTACAGATTTATATTTATACCAACTACAGATTTATATTTATACCAAAGTGTCTTAAAACTTTCCAGAGCTACTTATGATCATTTGGACAGATTTCTAAAGAATTGACATAAGATTTTTCACACAAATTCTCCAAAAATTTATTATCTTTTAATGAAATAAGAACATTTTAAACTAAATTCTCTGCTGAAGTTGGTTACAGGCTTAATAAATAATGAGGTTCTATTCACTGGGCTTTATTTAGACCTAAATAACGTTGAGTCCTGGAGACACCTGAATTTGAGATAAAGGAAATAAACAAAAGAAAAGTAAAATTCACTGTTTAAAAAAATATCTGAACCACTTAACCTTGGGTTTTAATAGCATGGACCTGTCACTTCTTGTATTTCCAGCTATTTCCTTGAATTTAGTTTTCAGTATTCCTAAAAATAAGTTTAAAAAAGTAATTTCAGGATTTGTTTCAGCAAATCTTCACAACCCACCTTTATTATTTTTGGTAATTGAGTGAATCTGATAATTTGGGGGGTGGGGGAATCAACAGATTTGGCTGAATAAAGAATTGGGTGAAGGAAAATGGAGAATTATACACCTGAACCCAGGAGAAACTGCCAGAACCACAGGAAAATGGTGAGCATGGAAAAATCAGCCACATTTTATTAATATTTACAAAGGCAAATAATATATTTACACTGCAAACACTTCCAATTAATAATTAAAAAAAAGATCCTCAAGTGTTTGATTGGCTAAACACATTTTCTGTCCCTGAATGTAAAGAGAAATAGAATTAAATTCTGTCTAAAAGCTGCTTTTTTACCCTCTCAGAGAGGAATTCTAAGCAGAAAGCTGCAAGTACCAGAACACTTTTAAACCCACTTTTTTTTAATTTTTAAAGAATAACCAGATAAATTATTGGGGGCATCATTCTTAGAGCAATGCAGGTTATTAAGGTAAATAATAATAATAATAATAATAATAAATTCAATTAGAAATTCAGGGGGGAAAAAGCAGAAAGAGTTTTCATTTTTTTTTTTTTTGGAGAGGTTTTAAGTGTCCCTCTGTAAGTTTTATTAATCCTTTGTTCAAACAGACTTTACTAACAACTATATAATAACAATAATTTTAATTTCAATAATAACTATCTGCTATTGCAGATCCCTTTTTCAGGGAGGAAAAACATCCTGTTGACTTCACTGATGGGAATATCCCTCAGTGCTGGAATTGCCTCCTCTTGGAATTTCTTCTGCTGCTGCTTTTTTGCAAAGTTATCTACAAAAGATAAGGAGAACATTTCATGGCTTCCAGATTCTTTTCTTCCAAGAATATTTATCTAATTATATAATGCAACACTACAAATTTAGCTGCTTTAAAGGATGCTGAAAACCCCAGCAGGACTTCCAAGAACTCAAATATTTAAAGGCTTAAAATTTGGGTTTTGTTTTGTACAGATTTCCAGAATTGTCAGGGAAGGATCAAACTTTTAAATAAGCACTAAAATTACCTGTGATGGTGTGAGTGGAGTTGAGTGGAGCTGTGCTCATCATGTTAATCCCAAAAAGCAAAATATAACCAATTCCCACGGCCACCAGGAGATAAACTGGCAGAGCAACTGCCCAGTACCTGAGAAAAAGGATTTTAAATTTTATATTTTATATTTAGTACCAAAGGCTTCGTAAGAAATCAGTTTTAATGTTGGTCTTGTATCTGTGATGAATTTCTCCAAGAGGAAAAGAAACAACACCTCTGATTGTGAATCCTGACTCCACTGGAGCTGCTGATAAACCATCAGATAAATTCCTTAAAAAGGTGTTTATTTTTTAAATATGGCCTAAAATTTATTGGATTTCCACCAGCAAACTTCCTGAAAACAAAATACCAAATTTATCCTAAAACATCCCAATATTATTTATTTCATGGTACAATGAAACATTTTCACCATAGCTACATAAAAAAAAAAGCTTCAGCAACATTACAGCCCTTTATCATCAGGAAAAAATGGATTTAATGCAAGGCCATTATTTGAAAAGAAAAGAAAAAGGTTTTTTTATTTGAAAATAATTAAGATTAAAGAGTGTAATTAGCTGAACTTACTTTTGAGGCCAGTATGTCAGTCCCAGGGAGAACAGCCAAGTCTCAGGAATATAAGCCCAGATAAGGTACAAAACTGCACAACAAAATGAAAAACTCACTGTAAGAGTGATGGTGTTTTAGACTTCCTAAATTTTGCTTTTATTTAAACCAAAATATTGCAGAATTTGCCTCTCACACACAAATCCTGCCCAGTACCTGGTCACAAGGGATCAGTTTTATATTTGCTTTAACATTTAATTTCTGCTTTCCTATGGAGACAGACAAGGATTTATTCCAAGTTAAACTGCAGAACAATAAAGAAAAAAAAAAAACAACAAAACCACTCCCAAAACACCTCAATAAAAAGAAGCCAAAGGAATCTGAACAGAGAAAATGTTAAAGCCAAAAATGATCTCACAGTGGTCATTTAATGGGAAGAAAAACAGGTGGAATTGCAGCTTTTATAATAAAAAAATATTGAAAATCCTTCCTGGGAGAGGAGCTGAACCCAACTCCCCCTCGTTTCTCACAGCAGGGTCCTGCACTAAAGGATATTTGCAGCACCTTGTGTTGAAAAAATGTTTTCTACCCTCTCAAACCTTGGTCCTGAGTGAAATGAAAAACCCATCAGACCAGCAGGGAAAAGCTGATAGAACCCAAAATATTTTCCACCTCTGTTGAGCGGGTTGACCTAATTTATTAATTTTTTTTTTTTCAGTGTTTTGGTGGGGAAGGTAACACCACACCTACTTCTGGTGCTTAATGAGTGTGAAAATGGGTGTGATTTGAATAAAAACCGGGTTAAAACGGGAATTCAGCACAGCAACACTCGGGGGTGATGGGTTCAGCCGCAGGATACTCACTGAAGCCAAACCACGAGCCCAAAAAAAGCGCAAATCCGTAAATGGCCCGTTCGGGCAGCGGGGCCGGAGAGTTCTCGACCATGATGGGATCCGCCCTGGAACCTCGCGGGGAGGGCGAGGACGATGGGAGAGATTTCAGAATGGGGTAAGAGATGTGAGAGATTTCAGAATAGGATGGGAAAGGTGAGAAATTTCAGAATGGGATGTGAGGATATCAGAGATTTCAGAATGGGATGGGAAAGGTGAGAAATTTCAGAATGGGATGTGAGGATATCAGAGATGTCAGAACGGGATAAGAGAGGTCAGAAATTTCAGAATGGGATGGGAAAGGTGAGAGATTTCAGAATGGGATAGGATATCAGAGATTTCAGAGGGGATAGGAGAGGTGATAGATTTCAGAACGGGATGGGAGATGTGAGAAATTTCAGAATGGGATAGGAGGGTATCAAAGATTTCAGAGGGGAATAGGAATGTGGGAGATTTCAGAATGGGATGTGAGGATATCAGAGATTTCAGAACGGGAGACAGGAGGATGTCAGATTTCAGAATGGGATATGACAATGTCAGATTTCGGAATGGGATATGAGGATATCATATTTCAGAATGGGATATGAGGATATCATATTTCATAAGGGGATGTGAGGATATCAGATTTCAGAAGGGGACGGGAGGATGTCAGAGATTTCCTGGGAAGCTCCTATGGGAAACCCCCTGGACCGGCGGGGGCCGCACCCGTTCCCCCACCCCCCGCCCAGTTCTGCCCCTTTGCTCCTCAGAGCCTGGGACAGGAGGAGGAGGAAGAGGAGGAGGAAGAGGAGGAGGGGGAGGAGGAAGGGGAGGAAGGCGCTCCCTACCCCCGCTCCCGCATCCGCCTCCGCGCCGCCCGCATCCGGCCGCGCGCGCGCAGGCGCACCGCCCGCGGATTGGCCGCGGCCCGTGACGTCAGAGGGCGGGCGGCCAATGGGCGGTGCGTCCGGTAGGTGGGGCGCGCTGGGGCGGCGGGAGCGGCGGCGGCGGCCGCGGAGCGGTGCGTGAGGGACTCGGGGATGGATTGAGGGGTGCATTGAGGGATGGACTGAGGGGTGGATTCGGGGATGGAGGGAACGAGCGAGCAGTGGCTGCTCGGCCGCCTTCCCCCGCGCCTCACCCAGCGCGGGTGCCCCGCTCTGCCCGGTTTGTGTCCGGCAGAGTGACGCGCTGCCCCGGCCCGCCCGAGGCGGAGCGCGGTACCTGAGGCGCTCCGGGCTCTTGGAGCAGCGGCACCGCCGGGGCTGTTCCGGCGGGATGAGAGCCGGCAGCGGCGAGCCCTGGGCTTCTGGGAGCGCATGGGGGCGGGGGGGAGCCCGGGAGCTGCTGGGACGGGGCGGGGTGTTCGGCATCCCGGGATGCTGCCGTGATTCCCGGGATGCTGCCGTGATTCTGGGATGCTGCCGTGATTCTGGGATGCTGCCGTGATTCCCGGGGATGCTGCCGTGATTCTGGGGGTGCTGCTCCTTGACCCGGCAGGGAGAAAGTGCCCCAGCTGCCTGTCAGGGATCCTGCCGGGGTGCAGAACAGAGTTAGTCGATGTCGCAAGCTGTTAGCCAGGGTTTCAGCATTAACCTGTGCTTTCACAAATTCAGAGCTTTCACAAAACCCAGGCAAAGTGAGATTTGGTGGTGTGACTATTTGAGGTGTTGCAAAGTTCCTGTTACTCGCTTCTTGTCTTCCTCTGGTGTTTCTCATCTTCCTTTTTTCTCAGGGTGATGAGCCATGGCTGATCCTCTGTCCAAATCCGACCTTGCAGCTCTTTTTGGAGGTGATCTGTCCTACTTTGAGCTGGTAAGTGGGGTTGGAATGAGATGGGAAACTTGCAGGATGTTCCAGGGGAATTTTTACCCAGATCTGGCCCTGGTACAGGGTGCCCAGAGCAGCTGTGGCTGCCCCTGGATCCCTGGAATGTTCAGTTCCAGGTTGGACATTGGGACAGTGGAAGGTGTCCCTGCCATGGCAGGGGTGGCACTGGGTGGGATTTAAGGTCCCCTCCAACCCAAACCATTCTGGAATTCTCTGATCAGCTCTCCAGAGTCATTCCCAGTGTTGATGAACTCAAACCTCACACTGTCCATGATTCCCTTGCAAAAACCCCCAAGTTGGGGTAGAGCCCAGAGCCTGTGTCCCCTGCCCAGGGGTGACTGAGTGCAGCTGGGCCAGGGCAGGCTCTGAGCTGCAGCTCAGGTCAGCAGGACTTGCCCAACCTGTTGGTCCTGTGGCCATTCCAGGGCTGCTGCAGCTCAGCCTGGCACATTCAGTCCCTGG